ATAAGTGTTATTACGCATGCAGCCTCGGCACCACGCCCGCTCACTGATACCGCTCGAGCATTGTTGGTTGCAAATAGGCGGACAGCGATTCGCGACCCAAAGAAGGCTTAGTTTTCCGGCACCGGTACCGTGTACGTCACTGTGTGGTATACGCCCACTGATCTTATGAGATTTTCTGCAACGTGCATGTAAGCCTTGAGGTATTACAGGCCAGCGGGACCACGCGCTGTTCCTCCCTTGGACTGGAGCCATATTCTCCGCTGATCCGCAATGGCATCGTAACTATTTTTACATCCAGTAAAATAGGACCGACTGGTTTAGTTCCAGTACATTTCTCTCGCACACGACTGGGTACGCTCGTAGGCGTAAGTAATTGATTTTAAAATTCAATTCAAATTGCGTGTTTTCAAGCTCAACTGGACTTCCATTTCTTAATTTCGGGTTGGCAGCTAGAAATTGTAATAATTATGTTCGCCGCATTTTATCAAAAAAATTCCATTAAATGTGCTCGGTTCCGGTTAATTTATTTTTTAAATGGCTTGACGCCAATAAGTGATATAATTGTAGCTACGGCATCTCACCCATTCCACGCAGCAATTAGAGCAGGGCTGCCTGAGTAGTCGTTGTAGCCATGGTAATAACTAGAACGCAGAGCCTACATAACCTAATAAATCGTCGCCACAACTACATTATCGCCGTCTAGCGCAGGATTTCAAACGTGTGCTACGAAATCAAGCAACAGTAAGATGCTATCAGCTATATATAGTTCAAGTACCATTACAGTAGATGAGTCCGCATATCAGCAGTGATATCAGCCTGTATAGCGCTGCGTCAGGGCTTTGGCTCGCGCGTGCGAAACCCGTGGAGGGGGGAGTAATGTGGGTCTTTGCACTCATCAAAACAAATATTATCCCCATAAATAAACGAAGACGTTTATTTGCTTTTTGAAAATAGCTAATTATAAACGCGCGTTTGCGACTCTGACATTGTCGGCGTCGCTGCGACGCTCCATGCAGAGTTGTAACGTATACGCAGCATGTTAGCACAGCCGCCCTGATGATCGATCGTACTGATAGAGATTCACTATCATGGACGGTAAAAATAAAATCATGTTTGTTATTGATAGGACCAATATAGAAAGCACCTCTCTATCTATCTATCTATCTATCTATCTATCTATCTATCTATCTATCTATCTATCTATCTATCTATCTATCTATCTATCTATCTATCTATCTATCTATCTATCTATCTATCTATCTATCTATCTATCTATCTATCTATTTATCTATCTATCTATCTATCTATTTATCTATCTATCTATCTATCTATCTATCTATC